ACATTCATGAGGGCAAGGAACTGGGTCACAGTGTCCAAAAATGTTTCGATCAATAAGCGACTTGCGTGTTAGATTTGAATAAAATCTGGAACGCTGACTTGCACGTTTTAACCTAGCATTCTCCCGACCAAAGAGACTGTTACTATATCACGTGATTCGGGGCAAGCCTTATGCTAGCAACCCCCAGCTCCGGCATGGTCTGGTGTCCTTGTGCCATTCTCACCCCGCATTGTGAACGATGTATTGGTGCTGAGCGTCTCTTACGTAACTATGCAAGAGCTTGCCCCGAATCATGTGATTAGCAACAGTGTCTTGGGTCTGGAGAATTCACAGTTAAAATGTGCCAAGCATTCTGAGCAAGTCATTGTACCAGACGTTTTTCAAATGTAAATCCCAAAGGGTATAGGTTACACGCAAATGGCTTATTGACAATACATTGTGTAGTCATGCGTGACTGAACTCTTTCGATACAGCGAGCCGCTGACAGCGGCACACAAAAATTGTACATGTCGTACGGCAAGCCGCTGCGGCTCAGTGACGTCGCTGTGAATAAATCAGGTATCCCCATGACGTGTGCCTTATTTACATAATTTATATCGTATAACCTCTGACCCTAGTTTGAACCGCTGCCAACGGCTCTCCGTCTCGCCGGGGTCTGCTGCAGGTTATTTTGAGCAGTTTGTTTACAGAGAGACATTTAAAGATGACGACGGAATTTCCAGCGATTTATTACGAAAAAAACGTGAAAAAATCGGGAATTTAATTTCTGTAGCGAAAGAGTGAAATTACATGAAACTCTTGGGATTTAGGCCAAGGATACAAGGAGTATCTGCACAATAAAACATTTTCAACATTGACATCATGGTTTTGAATAGTTATTTCAAAAATAGTCAGACAGACACTTTTGGGGGACACACTAATTCGGCAACATAAATTTAGAAGCCATTTGAAGGTGGAACCAAAATGCGCTCAGGTCGTACGCAAACACAAACCAATCTGAATCGTAAGTGTGACGTCATTTCAACTGAAAAACCACGCCCACTGCAACACGGTGTAGCATTGGCACATGTACATGTATAAGAACTGTATACATGTAAAATGTAGTACCAATAAAAGTGGCACGTTCAGCCAATGGATGCTTGTAATCACGTAAGCGTGCGCGTGTTTGACGCAGTCACTTAAAAACCGCGGATAGGGTAAAAGGGACACTGCGTCCTGAAATCTACGAAAGTTTCATGTTTTGGATCGTTTACTTATCCTATTTCAAACATTTGGTTGAAAGGAAACTAACCTAATGTCTTACCATTCCCGAGAAAAGACGAAAAATAAAACCGGTTGTTTACATCGGACACAACGGAGTACGAATACGTTTTTCATGTCGTTTCAGTCAATGTCCAATACACGTTGTGTTCACGTTGTGTATGAGTCACATAAAATCACACAGCACCAATGCACAAAATGTGGTTTCTTACATGTCCGCAAAAGGCAAACACTTTGTGGCTGGAATCACTACTAGCATGAACAGCCCGACTTTTTGGCGCGGCAAAATTGGACCCCGAAAGTCGCACGCCTAGCACAAGAATAACACAAAGCGCCCAGTTTGTAAAGGACAGTTGTGTGGATGTTTACATCCTACTTTTAAATATTCTTTCCGATTAACAACATTTCGTTCAAAGCGTTTTGTAGCCCAGTTGGGTTCATTCCCTTTAACACAATTAGCTTTCCGTAAGCAACAGTTTTCGTTATGTTAGAAGAGTTTATCTTGAACTGATGTCGGTCTTTTACTGTTTTGTCCATCGTACAAAACAAGATAACAATGTCAAAGGTAAATATCAGGTCAATCGTTCGGCTCCTATCCCCCCTCCAACAAAAAAATGTAATAAAAGTGCACCCGCCGAGGACTTAAGGGATGATTCACCACTGTTATTAGCAATTTGTTGGCGCTAGACACAATGGCACTATAACCACGCTCCATACAAACCATTCGTGTGTGTCGGCTGGGGTGCTTTGTGGCAGAAATTCCTTGGCTCGTAAACAACTTGTTGTTAAAAAGGTCGATCAAAAGTGAAATACAGCTCATAACGATTTCGGTTTATTGACATGGCAGCCGGTAAGCATGGTCGAAGATACATTGTGTGGGTATTCTGTCAAGCATTTTTGTCGAGCACGCGATATTTACCCTCTAGAAGTCCACACGTCCCAAAGTTAAATGGAAAGTACAACATTTGCTTTTGCTGCAATTTTCAAAAATAATGGATTTGGAGGATTAGTAGTTATAGAAAATATTGTTAAACTGACTTGCTTCACGTATTGGGTTCGGAGATGCTGGAAAATCCAAGAAAACCAACCATGTACTTGTAGTCTGGTTCACTGAACCCACTTAGGATGATACGGAACAATGTATAGACTTTTGGGAATCGTAAAGTCAGAGAATCAGTCTAGCAGGCTTGTACCCATTCACAGGTGTTAATCAATTGCTAACGAAATGCAGAATAACTTTAATATGAAGAATAAGGAGTTTTTGAAAAAAAGCGCCAGTTTCCTCCAACGCTGGTCGGCCGACCAGCGTTGGAAAAATACAAGTTTTCTTGAAAATGTCAGCACACCGGGAACCCTGATTTTACAGGATGCTTTGGACAGTCCTTCCCAAACAATTCAGTCAGATATTTTGTGATAATTTGATCATTTCATTTTTTGATGTTTGCAAATGTTGTATCTTCTCTTTAAGTTCGGGAATGTTGACGTGCCGTTTATGAACTTTGCCTTTTTAGAACATGTTTTTGCATTATACAGAGCTGAAGAGCGTGGGATCCAAAGGTGTCCGGTATTAAAACAGTTTATATGGCCGACTGCATAATCGACCTATCGCCGTTTGCGAGTTAGCCACGTCCCTTGGACAACCCTATGGAATTGTGTTCGTTGAGTTTCGTTTGTCTCAGATTTTGCGCGTTCCATGCAATTTGTATATACCATGCAATTGGACAATATTTCACAAGCTGCGTTGACGCGATTCTACCGCGATAGGTCAATTATAACAAAGTCTGAGACAAGATAAGTTTGCGGTAGCACCATGTGAATAAATCTCTTTTGTGAGTATGTGTGGTTCTGAAAAGAACCGGATCGAGGACTCAACGTTTCGAACTGTGTGCTCTGACCGTCGTCAGAACCAAACATACTCACAAAAGAAATTTATTCACATGGTGCTACCGCAAACTTATCTTGTCTTAGTATCTTTCCACCATGCAAACCTTCAAATCTTATATAACAAAGTCTCTTGAAGATAATTGTAACGTTGAGGCATAGGACATTAGAATTAGAAACATGAATTGACATTAACAGTGTAATACTAGTACGGCAGATAAGTGATGGGATTGTGCCTATGATGATACATGCATAGCATTTGGCACACGGTCAGAGTACCCGTATGTACATCTTCACCCAAATTCATTAAAAGTCCATTTCTCCGTGAAAAGAATCTTTAAGAGATGTTTCACGGACATTTACATGGGGCTTATATAGGACTAATCCTGTAAGGGTATTTTCACGGTTTTTTAATGACCCTGGCCACTGAGGATTATCATTGGTTATACATAACGGTACAATGGGTCTATCTCCATGGGTAAACAAAGGACCTTCTTAAGGGTGTTTTCACGGACTCCTAATCTGGCTTAATATGTTGGAAAATCCGTGAAAATTTAGTTAACAGTAATTTCAAGGGAAAATGGCTATGTAACGAATTTTTAAGGGAGTGTTCATGTCATGAGAAAAGATATTTGGCTGTAGGGCCATCGAGGATTTTTCCTCTGAAAATAATATAGGTGGAATATCGAGCAATGACAGACATTTTGAACATTTGGAGAATTGCACGTTATTCTACCTATTTTTTTTCAAAGGACAGGTCTGTGATGGCGCTATAGCCACATATCTTACTTAAGACATACTCTGACTGTGTGCCATGCATATGTCATGCTTGAACCATCAAGGCACAATTTCCCCAAATATCACCCCTATCCAAGCCCGCGGGAAGGGGGGGGGGGTGGTGTTGTGGGTGCTGCAGCACCCCTAACTCTTTGGATTGGGGTGCTGGAAAGTCTAGCACAAACATTGTAAAATATCAAGAGGAGGTATTTTCTAAATTTTCAGGCAGTGCAGAATGGATATTTCTCACACGGTATCTAAAATCATGACATGTCTATGATATTTCTGCTGAGATGGTAGTTTTGACCCGAAAGCAATAACCTCGGCCATGACGATGGTGGCAAAGTTGATTATGCTTGCCAGGATTTTTGTCATTCGATCTTTCAATAGGGGCAAATGTTCATACCTTTCCCTGAAGGTTTTTCTTTTCATTTAAAAGTTTCATTGACGTTGCAAGCATTCTGTATTCAACATTTACAAATAGCAAGGTTCACACACATCCCAACCTAATAGGAGTGGGACTTGTTTTCATTGAAACTAGTCATGCTGTACGCCAATCCCAGTGTGGTTTCGTTTCAATTGAAAAAGAACTATTCATGTTTTGCCCTCTGCAAGTTTGTCCTCATAACAACTCTGCAGACCAATAAATTATTGCCTATAGCCCTAAACTTGCCATCTACCGATCATAAACATAAAGATACATTTTTTCTGTTGGTCTTTTATATTTGCCTTCCCTGTAACAAACAAATAACACTGCAAATATATCGAGAGCTACGTCGTTTGGTGAGTTAGAACTATGTGAATATTTTTATGAACAGAAATTCGTCCGCTTCCAGTGGAACCATTTTTTTAAACCAAAAACAAATCCTTTGGGGTTTATAAGTTTCAGTACACTACCAGTATCTTTTACCACACCACAGTGCATCCAGAATCCAACATTTTCCGGGCCTTAAAGTGGGCCCTGTGGCCCTGTGGCCCTACGCCGTAAGGGCTCGGAAAATAAAACAAAACATACACGACGGGATTTACTAAATGTAAGAAAGCAGCCTTGCAACAATAGTATTTACATGCGATGCCATGATAAAAATACAGGGTTCTCCACTTGTTAGTACAGTTAAACATTTTAAGAGCAACAGTATATTCTAAACAAACTAATAAAATAAATTGTTTTTATAATCTCAAAAAAACTTTTGCTAAAAAAATTCACATGAAAGTGGCCAAGCATCGCCTCAGATTGCACCACAGAGCATCCATATTCCAAATTGAGCCACGACGTGAGGGCTTGAGTTTGCGCTCCGCTTTCGTATTAATTTTGTCTGTCCTTTATAGATTCCAGCACCCCCTAACAAAAGTTTGTTCCAGCGGCAGTGCCCCTATCTGTCCCATTAGTAGGCCATATAGCACATGTACAGTCAGCTTGATGCATATACTATTTCCTCAATATTGCAGTCATTGTGCATAATATAGTTATAAATCCCCACAGATATCCACTTACATCACACCCATCACCGTCCCGATGAAATGATCTTGATTAAAAACCAGCCGACTGCAGTAAAAACAATTCAAAGGCCACATAATTATTAAAACTGACGGTCAAAATGAAACCGACGTAAACAAAAAAGCTATAATTATAATAATAATAATGGCAGCTACAATTATTGAAATCCTTTGGAAGAAAATAAACCAAGATTGAAATCAGTAGAAAACTTAATGGGAGCTTATGCCCAGAAACCCCTCAAGTATAGCAATGACATGATCGGTAACATAGCAGTAGCAAAATGAGTGAAAAATCAATTTATGTTATTCAGTTTTAACAAAATGCAATAACTGAACATCTATACTTCTGTTTCAATTTGCAGACTACTTATTCTGTGTGAACTCAAATAGCGTTAGTTATAAACCATTTACAATTAAGATAGGAAAGGGTCATCATGTGCATCTAAATCGTTTCCTTGAAATAATACAAAATGTTTTCATGTACCTTGAAAAACACAGTGTTGGAAAACGCCGTTTTGCCATTCCACAACTCATCGCTTTGTTATTTTTCACTTTTAGATATAACATAGTATCCCCAATAGACCAAAAAGGCCAAGAAAGGCTGTATTAATGCTGGGTACGGAGCAGGCTGAATCAGCTTCAGCCTGTTCGCATTCGAGGCCGTCTCCTTCAAAGGTCGGACACTCCTTGAAATCTTCAAGACACTGCAGCATCTTGCGGGCCTCGCGGTCCCCTGAGTCTAAACCCCCGACGATGTAGCCAGGAAAGCGGTCGGAAGTTGCCTCGCCACCGAAGAAGAGGCGACCCACTCGGCTCTGGAGTTTCTGGCGGCATTTGGTAGGAACCTCCACGGGGACGTTGCTGAAGGAGCCTTTGGTGAGGGGATTCTGAGACCAGTCAGTCACCAGGATGCCGGTGGCTTCAGGGATGCTGTCACCGTACATGTCACGAAGGACTTGTTGGATCTCGGCTTTGGTCGCGTCTGAAGGTTGTGCCTCAACGCGCCGAGATTCATCACCTGGAATCAATACAGAAGACAGAACATTCAGTTGTAAAACTATTAATAATTATAAACATTGAAATCACTGCTTGTTCATCTAAAAAAAATGTACATTATAACCGTCTAATGTCTATAGCCCTACTCAGCGATAAGCAGAAACTAACTCCACTTTGATAATAATATCCTAATTATCAATAGTAAGCAAAACACCTGAAAAATACACCCCTCCCCGTGGTCAAAACTATCGCATGATCTCTTGCTCTTGATATTCAAGACTACAAGTACAAAAAAGAAGAAGGTGTGTGTGCACAATATTATATGACGGTGCACAGTGAAGTGTTGCTTCCACATAATAGATCGAAGACATCCACACACTTTTCAAACACCACTTTCCCTAAAACCTGACAATAAGCGTTGTGGGACGCAATTCTGAACAACAACAACAGGGTTAGGTTTCCCGAATTGTAAACTTCAGATTTTTTTTAGATTGAGGTACAAAAGCAAAAATAACCCAAGCATTTTGATCTTACCAATAACAAAGACCACTATCACTGGACTCCCGTTCGGAAACAGCCCAGCTGCCTGGTAGTTGAGAAACGCTGGAAAATAACCCTTTCTCTCGCTGGCGTACAGAACCCACTCAGTGTCATCCCAAAACTTGCTGGGAAAGCTGAGGTAGATGGAGGTGTACGCAGCCATCTGAAATTTCTTAATCTCAACATCTTTCCATTCCGGGAGAGTCGGGATGAACTGGATCAAATTAGGGTTCTGCAAGACGCCGATGCTGAAGGTGATAAGAACGTACTCGCCGATGTATCGCGTGCCATCCTCACACGTCACGACTACTGATATGTCATTCCTGTAATCGATGGATACCACCTTCTGGTTCAGACGGGTGTGGTTGATGTATGCTGGCGTCGTCAGGAAACCAGCAACCTCATCAAAGATTCGTTCGAACCCTCCTGTGTCGGTGATGTACAACTCTTCCCCTTCGTCTGAACCTACTGCCTTAGTAGAAGAAACCTCAGGTCCGTCTGCGTACTCGAAATCATATTCAAACCATTCGATCGCCTTGTCGATCGCACTTTGTGGTATCCACTCACCGATTCGAAGGGCAGAACGCTGAGACATGTCTGGTATATCGTCATTCTTTTTCAGTCTTGCGCTCAGTTCGTTAAGTTTGTCGATGGCCTTCTCCAGACGCTCGTAGATCGCATCGGCCTCGTCAGTCACATCGTGCCCGGTCGCGTTGCGGATAGTCAAGCTGTCGTAATCACTCGTGTGACGACGTAAGTCAAGATCGCGGACAAGTTGATCCGCTTGGGAACCTGCTGGTTGCGCCCAACCTGCCCCAAGCGGCACTGTGTAGCCAGCGAATTGTGCGCTCTGGACGCGCCCACCGATCCGATCAGCAGCCTCGACGATGATGAAGTCATCCATTCCGTTATCGTGGAGAGTCCTGGCCGCTTGTAAGCCAGAAGCCCCCGCCCCCAAAATCAAGATTCTGGCTTGAGTGTCGCCATGATTGACCAGGGCCTTTGCGTGGAAACAGAACAGCAAAAGATCGAAAATAACGTGAATTTGAGAAAACATGATGAGGCAATTAATGTCATGTACTTTCACACATAAACATCTGAACCAAGTGTCACGTAAACAGGGCCTATATTGTGTTACATATAGGTATTTACATGTACAGCATATCAAGCTTCAGTGAAAAAAAGTGAAAAGGAATCACTAAGCCAAGGAATTATTTATGAGTGGGCTGTAGTCAGTCAGAACAATCGTGAACCAGCTCTACGCATCCATGATTAGCTATAGACTAATCCAATGACGGTTTAGACTGGCGTCGCGTTGTTGCTCCGAAATAGTTCCACTTGGAGCCACTCAGACAGTTTCAGAACTCAGAACTACGGTGGCCCTGGAACGACACCCAAGTGATTCGAGTCCCACCTGAGTTGTTTCTTTTCACAATTACTCGGGACAACACTCAGCATAAACTGATTAAAAAACAAACATTATGTGAAGGGAAAACCCAACATTTTTAGTTGAATTCAAGAGATAAAGCAAATCAATTCGGATCAACAAAATCTCACAAAATGTGTGCTGGTGGATCGTGTTTGACAAAACGGGGTAAGGGTTAATATATACTCTAAGGATATACTGCCCAAGCTATTTTTTAGTTTCACTCATCCAAAAAGTTTTTGTTTTTGAATGTTTGGTTTTAGTTATTCACTTTGAAAACATCAGCTGAAAATTGGCAATGGAAATAAGTTTACAAACTTGAAATTATTGGCGGCCCGGCATTTATTTAATACGCACAGGTTAGACTTGTTCCCACACCAACCTCCCTTTAGGAATGATAATTTATGGACCAAGAACCAGTCTACTCATAGGACGGATCGCTTCGCACGCAAAGGCAACCCCAAATTTAAGCCTTTTTTTTTTCAAGGGTTTTTAAAAACCTCGCTCACACACCCCAATTTTTTTTTTATCATAAATTTTCAACGGTTAGTACTAGGGGGGTTAAAATTCAATTTGGTGCAGAGCCCAAATAGCGCATCTTTAAATATTTATGAACCTTGTTTTTCTTTACAGGAGAAGATATCGTGCTTGGCTCGGTTCTGGGCACAAATCTCCCTGTTTGCTCTGACTGCTTTCAGTATAGCAGCCTTTTGCTCCCGTCAGGTACACACAATTATTTCCTAGATTTTTTTGTACCAGAATTTGGAAATGAGTGACTCATTTCCAAATTCTGGTACAAAAAAATCTAGGAAATAATGAGTCCCACGTCAGAAAACGACGTTGGACATTTGGTTGCGCATTTCGTCATCGATTTTACGAAGGGACGGGCATGTCAAAATTGACAATTTTTTCGATTTCGAGTTTTTTTCACTATGTTGCTTTAAAACATGGTACTTCAGCATTCTGACATGTTTCCGTTGGCAAAACATCATTTAATTCCTGAATGACATTCATGACGTCAGGGGCAGGCATCTCGATAATTGTATTTTGCGATTTCACGAAGAGACGCGAACATGCCTGCTCCCGCGAACACGTACAAAACGCATTGCACGGAAAGGCGGTAAAAGTAGGACAACGGAGATTTTCGTTTTCACGAAGGGACGGGCATCTTTGTTACATTCTCAGCTGCGCACGCGTAATCAAAAACGCGCGCCCTTCACTATGGAAAAGCCATAACACTAGATCAGCAATGCGTACAGACGCGCGTTCTGCCATGGGCGGCGCCATTTTTCAGCGCATGGGGCAAAAGTTGCGTTACGCGCACCTTTTTTCCATAGGTTTGCATGGAAAGATATATTTGTATGTCCACAAAAGTAATATTTTTTGACCTGCAGTAGTTATTGCCCCAACAAATTCAAAATGGGTCACCAAGCTGCTTGTTCATTGTCAGAGTTTCATCCATTTTATTCTTCGTATTTATTTTCCGTTTTAAAATGCTTGGGCGCGTTGCTAAAAAACAACTTGCCTCCAGTTATTTGCTTCAGAATTAAAACAGAGTACATTGTATAGCCCCTAGCCTCCATCAACTTACAGAATGATGATAATTTTGAACGCCTTTTTTCGTAGTTGTTGCGTTGTCCTTAAATATAAATTCGCGACAGTGTTTAAGCGACAACACCCAGAATACTTCTCCATTATCCCTCATAAGGACATGACGGCGCCGTTATCAGGTACATTTTTGTACAGTGGGATACTGGGGGATTCAAGCCCCTCTCCCAACTCTTCACCAAAAAAAAAGAAAAAAGAAATGTGTATTACTGTGCTCTCCTCTAAAGGCGTACCCAGTATCTAAAACTCTTTAGCCTAAGAAGGCGCAAGACGAAAAAAATGTTCCGGTATAAAAGTCATACATATAAAATGTAATCCAAGTAAATTGTTTATCCGAAAAGGATAATTTATGGCGGGTATTAACACAAATCTCTAAAAACCTCCGCTGGAACATTTCACAAATTTAATTTAAAATAATTTAAAGGTAGTTTAAATCAGTTTTTACATTCTACGTTTTCCTTTCGTTTATTGTTAAAAAAACAATATTGTAATACACATCGTCAGCAACACCACGAAGTAACACTCATGTACACACCGGTAAAAACTAGCATTCGGAGAAAACGGCATCTAAAGTTGAACGCCTTCTAGAACAACACTTTAAGTCAAAACAGCAGAGTATTTGCAGTTGGGTTTCTCGTTGTGGACACTTGATGAATTGAATTGATTAAATCTGCTGTTTTTCACCCGTTTGTGTATTAAATCAACAAGAAATAGGAGGAAAAGGTGAGTGTTAGTTCGTGAAACCGAAAAAGCTGCGAAACTGTACATTTTGTTTTCACGGAGTAACACTCTTCAATGTATAATATATAACACGAGGAAAGTGCAACTTCAGGTTAGCGCGCGCGCGCTCAAACAAGGAGAGTGTTACTTCGTGAAAACGTTTTTGCTCACATTTGAGCAGAGTGTGCGCCATGCATTGCAATGATAAATGGAACTTGAGTGTTACTTCGTGAAAACGAAAATTGTCACCTTTGCGCAAAAGTTGCCATGGATAATTTGTATAATTATTAAAGTAAAGCTCTTGAAGCTTTGAAACTTCGTGCAATGGTAGGCCTTGATGAATAATGTTCAAAAATCCAAAAAACTGAAGATCGAAAAAAATATGGTTTAACACGGTGGAGTGTTACTTCGTGGTGTCGGTGACGACAAGTTTTTATGATAATTAAAGAGTGATTTTGTTTGGAGATTTTTAGCATGGTACACCATTATTTGGAAACGAAGAAAATAAATACGAGGTGAAAATGGAGCAAACTTCGAGGTGAATATCCAGCTTGATGTTGCATATTGAATTTTGTTGGAGACCTGATAACTACTGGTCAAAAATGTTACTTTTACGGACACAAAAATACAAGTTTGTGCACAAACCTAAGGGACTTTAGGTGCGCGTAAGGCACGTTTTGCCCCACGCACAACTTAACTTCGCGTAGAGCGTCCATGACGGAACGGGGAAATTTGTGCACATTCTATGGCGCGTATGCACGCACTGCAGATCTAGTCTTTTAATCTGTATCTGTGGGAAAAGCACATTTGGATTTTTGCTTTCACTGAGGAATGGGCATCTTTACTGATTAATTTTGGCTAATGACCCACTCTGTTAATTATAATTACTGGGTTTAAATTCAAGTATACCTGTCAAAGAATAACGTCCAGGTTTCCTTATTGCTTAAAATTGTTGCAAAGTAGTAGTTGTTGGTGTTTTCAAAACGGAGAAACTTCTCTTGCGATTATCTCTAAAACGATTTTTCTTCAAAATCCACATGCCCGTCCCTTCGTGAAACCGGTGACGATTTATGGCATTGATTTGTCAAAATAATGTGCACCCTGAGGACTTAAGGCATGATTTACCACTGTTTATGGCGCTAGACATAATGGCACTTACCACACTCATACAGGCCATTCCTGTGTGTCAGCTGGGGTGCTTTATGGCAGGAATTCCTGGGCTCACAAACAATCTTTGTTAAAAAGATCGTTCAAAAGTGAAATACACTGCATAACATTTATCACACAGTTTCGGTTTATTGGCATGGCCACTGATAAGCATGGTTGAAGATGCATTGTTTGGGTACTCTGTAACGCCTTTTGTCAAGTACACAATCCTGACGTTTAGGCCAATAAAAAAAAGTCTCCGGTTTCTGGTATGCGCGCGCGTCGCCGTAGCCATGCGCGTCGGCAAAATGAAAAAGTTTTTTTTCAATGAAAGATGATGTCTCAAACCGCCAAACTCACTGGTTTGACTGGAATCCTGCTGCTGCACAATTTTAACGTGTTTTTAGATTGGGTTATGGTCGAGAATAAGCTTTATGTGGCCTCTCTGGACTCCCATATATTTGCACTAAGTTTAGTCGGGCACCATTTGCAGTCATCAGCCGACATTTGAAGCAAAAAACAATCAGGTAAAAAAAAAAAAAGCCGCGTCGCCGCACCACTTTTGGGGCAAGCTCCATACCAGAAACCGGAGACTTTTTTTTTTGGCCTTACCGTCTGTGTCGTAAAAGGCCATTCATATCTAAGTTAAGTTCGGGAATGTTGACGTGCCGTGCCTTGGTCATGAACTTTGCTTTTTAGAACATGTCTTTTGAATAATACAGAGCTAAAGAGCCTGGGATCCAGAAGTTTCTGGTGAACAGTTTATATGGCCGACTGCATCATTTGACCTATCGCCGTTTGCGAATTGGCCCTTGTTTGTCTCAGATTTTGCGCGACCGCATCTTTTTTATACATACCATGTAATTGCACAATATTTCACAAGCTGCGTTGACGAGATAACTATAACATTGAGGCAAAAGACATTTTACATGTAATTAGAAACATGAAGTGACATTAACAGTGTATAATAGAGTACGGCAGATAGGTGATAGTGCATTTCATGATGGCACGGCATTTGGCACACAGTCAGAGTATGTCACGAGAAAGATATTTGGCTATAGGGCCTTCGCAGATTTGTCCTTTGAAAGTAAATGAGGTAGAATAACAAGCAATGGCAGTCATTTTGAACATTTTGAAAATTGCTTGTTATTTTTTCAAAGGACAAATCTGCGATGGCCCTATTGCCAAATATCTTACTTAAGACATACTCTGACTGTTTGCCATATGCCATGCTTGAACCATCAAAGGCACAATTCCCCCAAATATCTCCCATATCTGCCCCCCCCCCCCCATGGGCCATATAGTACATGTACAGCCAGCTTGATGTTAGACTTTTTTTCTCAATATGGCAGCCATTGTACATAATTATGTAGATAGCATAGATCACCGCAGAAACCCACTTACATCAAAGTCATCTAAGTCCCGATGAACGTAAAACTTGATTAAAATAATCAGCCGACCACATTAAAAAAGAAAGAAATGGTCACACATAATTATTAAAAACTGGCGGTTTAAACGAAACCGACGTAAAGAAAAAATAATAATAATACATTGCAGGTACAAATAGAAGCCGAAAAAATCACACTTATTGAATTCTTTTGGTCGAAAATAAACCAAGTTTGACATAAGTACTCACCTTAATGGGAGCTTAGGTCGCCACACCTCTTAAGTATGGCAAAGATACACTCAGTAACATTTAACAATCAGTACAATTAATCTAGCAGTAGCAAAATGAATGATAAATCGATTAATATTATTGTAATTAAGTTTTTTAAAAATGCAATAATTGAACATCAATCCTACTGTTTCAAATTACAGCCGACATAATGTGGCAACATAAAAACGTTTATCACCGAATTAAGACGACTGGAAATTTAGTCAAAACGGCGAGAACACTGCTAATTAAGAGCCAAGATGAGCTCAATCTTTGCGACCTCAAACAGTGATATTTATAAATCATTTACAGATAAAATTGGAAAGGGTCGTCATGTTTACCTGAATTTTACTAGGAGCAGTATACAATTTATACCTTGAACAACACAGTGTTGGAAAACGCCATTTTGCCATTCCACAACTCATCGCTTTGTTATGTTTCACTTTTAGATAGGCCTATAACATAGTATCCCAAAAAGACAAAAAAGGCCAAGAAAGGCTGTATTAATGCTGGGCACTGAGCAGGCCGAATCAGCTTCAGCCTGTTCGCATTCGAGGCCGTCTCCTTCAAAAGTTGGACACTCCTTGAAATCTTCAAGACACTGCAGCATCTTGCGGGCCTCGCGGTCCCCCGAGTCTAAACCCCCGACGATGTAGCCAGAAAAGTGGTCGGAAGTTGCCTCGCCGCCGAAGAAGAGGCGACCCACTCGGCTCTGGAGTTTCTGGCGGCATTTGGTAGGAACCTCCACGGGGACGTTGCTGAAGGAGCCTTCGGTGAGGGGATTTTGAGACCAGCGAGTCACCAGGATGTCGGTGGCTTCAGGGATGCTGTCACCGTACATGTCACGAAGGACTTGTTGTATCTCAGCTTTGGTTGCGTCTGAAGGTTGTGCCTCAACGCGCCGAGATTCATCACCTTGAATCAATACATTAGACAGAACATTCAGTTGCAAAACAATTAATAATTATAAACATTGAAATCAGTACTTGTGCATCTAAAAATGTACATTATAACCGTCTAATGTCTATAGGCCTACTTAGCGATAAGCAGAAACGAACTCCACGTTGATAATAATATCCTCGTTATCAATAGTAAGCAAAACACCTGAACTTGAAAATAACCCCTCCCCGTGGTCAAAACTATCGCATGATCTCTCGCTCTTGATTTAACACTTTAAGACATTCAAGATTATAAGTACAAAGAAGAAGGTGAGTGTGCACAATATTATACGACGGTGCTCAGTGAAGTGTTGCTTCCACATAATGGATCGAAGACATCCACACACTTTTCAAACACAACTTTCCCTAAAACCTGACAATAAGCGTTGTGGGATGCAATTCTGAACAACAACAACAGGGTTTAGGTTTCCCAAATTGTGAACTTCAGATTTTTTTTGTTAGATTGAGGTACCAAAGCAAAAATAACTCAGGCATTATGATCTTACCAATTACAAAGACCACTATCACTGGAGTCCCGTTCGGAAACAGCCCAGCTGCCTGGTAGTTGAGAAACGCTGGAAAATAACCCTTTCTCTCGCTGGCGTACAGAACCCACTCAGTGTCATCCCAAAACTTGCTGGGAAAGCTGAGGTAGATGGAGGTGTACGCAGCCATCTGAAATTTCTTAATCTCAACATCTTTCCATTCCGGGAGAGTCGGGATGAACTGGATCAAATTAGGGTTCTGCAAGACGCCGATGCTGAAGGTGATAAGAACGTACTCGCCGATGTATCGCGTGCCATCCTCACACGTCACGACTACTGATATGTCATTCCTGTAATCAATGGATACCACCTTCTGGTTCAGACGGGTGTGGTTGATGTATGCTGGCGTCGTCAGGAAACCAGCAACCTCATCAAAGATTCGTTCGAATCCTCCTGTGTCGGTGATGTACAACTCTTCCCCTTCGTCTAGACCTACTGCCTCGGTAGAAGAAACCTCAGGTCCGTCTGCGTACTCGAAATCATATTCAAACCATTCGATCGCCTTGTCGATCGCACTTTGTGGTATCCACTCACCGATTCGAAGGGCAGAACGCTGAGACATGTCTGGTATATCGTCATTCTTTTTCAGTCTTGCGCTCAGTTCGTTAAGTTTGTCGATGGCCTTCTCCAGACGCTCGTAGTTCGCATCGGCCTCGTCAGTCACATCGTGCCCGGTCGCGTTGCGGATAGTCAAGCTGTCATAATCACTCGTGTGGCGACGTAAGTCAAGATCGTGCACAAGTTGATCCGTTTGGGAACCTGCTCGTTGCACCCAACCTGCCCCAAGCGGCACTGTGTAGCCAGCGAATTGTGCGCTCTGGACGCGCCCACCGATCCGATCAGCAGCCTCGACAATGATAAAGTCATCCATTCCATTATCGTGGAGAGTCCTGGCCGCTTGTAAGCCAGAAGCCCCCGCCCCTAAAATCAAGATTCTGGCTTGAGTGTCGCCATGATTGACCAGTGCCTTTGCGTGGAAACAGAATAGCAATAGGTCGAGGACAACGTGAATTTGAGAAAACATGATGAGGCAATATGTCATGTACCTTCACACATAAACATCTGGATCATGTGCCACGTAGGGCCTATTTATGCTTCATATGCCTACATAATTGTTTGCATGTACTGCACTTGAAATGTTTGTGAATAAAGTGAAAAGAAATCACTAAGCCAAGGAATGCACTATGAGTGGCCTATGCTCAGTCACAATGACAATCGTAAACCGGTTCTACGTATCCATGACCAGCTATAGACTAATTTGTAGCTGTTCCAGACTGACGTCGCATTGTTGCGCCGAAAATAGTTCCACTTGGAGCCACTCAGACAGTATCAGAACTCAGAACTACGGTGGCCCTGGAACGACACTTTAATGTTAACCCTTTTAATATGAAGGTTAAACCTTTGAACAGTATTGATTAATGATGAAAAAAAGTAAGACTGCTGCAAACTGCTTACTGACTGGATGGACCTGAAATATATAAATCTAAAAAGGGGTGTCTAGTTTCTTGGTGTTGACCGTTGACCGGTGGGCATAGAAACGCTTCTTGAGCGTATTCTTAGTCTCACCTACATACTGCACTCCACAGACCCTGCAAGAAATGAGATATACACCTGTATGACATTAGAGGTGTTACAAGTGATGTTACCAATGGTTCTGTGGGTAGTGACAGAAGAGTGGCCAGAAAAGGAGTCAGACTCCTGGATATGAATCTGGCAGACAACACATCTGGAACTGCACTTGAAAGTACCATGCTGGGTGGGAGGGGATGCATCTAAGGATGGGACTTCAGCTCGATCAATCATGTCCCGTAGATTTCGAGGACGCCTGTAAGCCAGTGTGGGGCCGTTGGGGATGGCGCGGGCAAGGCGATCTGAAGTATGGAGGATATGATGATTGTCATTAGTGATTTTGCGAAGGGGAGGGAGATTGGGGTGAAACGTGGTAACCAAGGGAATCATGGGTTTGGCCATGGCATCAGGGGCCTTTCCCGTGAGAGCTAGATTTCTGGGGATAGCTTTAGCTCTGGCAATGGCACGATGAACTTGGCAAGAGCTGTGACCCCTGCCCACCAAGTTGTTCCTCAGTATCTGTGTATGGCGGGAGAAATCGGAATCATTAGAACAAATTCTTCTGAGTCTGAGTGCCTGGCTAAACGCTATGCCAGTTTTGCAGTGCCTGGGGTGACAGCTGGAGGAGTGGAGGTACTGGTGGGTGTCTGTGGGTTTGGAATACAGGTCAGTGGTTAGTGAGTTGCCTTGCTTGCGGACGGTGACATCCAGAAAGTGGGTTTGGTGAGCCGAGAACTCCGATGTGAATTTGATGGTTCTGTGGAAGGAATTGATGTGGTTAGTGAAGGTCAAGAGACTGTCCTCATCACTGGTCCAGATGAAAAAAACATCATCAATATATCTCCACCAGATCCAAGGGCGACATGGGGCCGAGGCAAGAATGCGTTCTTCGAGGTCACCCATGAAGAGGCAAGCCATGGAGGGGGCCATGCGAGTGCCCATTGCAGTGCCGTGTACCTGTAGATAGTGTTCACCAAGGAAGGAAAAATTGTTCCTCGTTAGTATAAGTCTCATGAGGGTGCCAACATCACTGATGGGAGGAGTCGTGTGTCCTGCCTTGGCCAGAGCCAAGGAGCAAGCACGAACACCCTCCTCATAATATAAAGTTATGAGTATTGAGTTGTTCCAGTTCAAGAACATATGAACTGTCCTGACTGGTTTTGTTAGGAGTTGTTCACATCCTTTCAAACTTAGAATCAAGCCCGGTTCATACTTCATGCGAAAGCGAATGCGAAGCGAATTTGACCTCATGAAACATTCGCTGCGAAATTCGCCCGAGTTGAAATATGTTCAACTTTTACGAATTCGCAGCACGAATACTTGCCATGACGTCACAAATTCGCGTTCGCTTACGCTTTCGCGCCGAGTATGAATCGGGCTTTAAAAGTATATTTCAATCCGGTTCCAGAGACCTTTACTTTTAGCCATTAATACCCTAAAACATATATCTCAACCGACCCCAATTCCTCGCGCACGCGCAATAAAAAACCACGACACAATTCCTGTAATACATTTTTGTGCTGTTTTACATGACTTGTCTGGACTTGCCACAAATCAATCCAAAGCTATACAAAATCATCTTCTGCCCACAGGGCAAAGGCGTAGCCAGCAGGTATTTACCCCCCCCCCCCCAATATTTCGTAAAGACTGTCTTTCTCCATTCAAATGCCCTTTTTTTCAACGGGCTTACCCCCCCCCCCCCCAGTGGACCGTGGGCCCCAACTGGCTCCAAAGGAAAGTGCGCATGTAAACAAAGTGTGACGTCTCAGTACATAGGCTTATTGAAAAGGACAGGTGTGTTTGATGCCACCAACGTTTCAAAAGTCTCCCATCGCAATAAAAATGTTATTTGATGACAAATTCATTATATTATAATTTAAGGACTTTTATTCAATTATATGTTAATACATTGTAATGAAGAACATGGCCATTGGTCAGTCGGGGGGGGGGGGTGTTTTGTAACCACTTGTAGTTTGTTTTGGTTGGATTTTGTTTTTGGAGGAGTGGGCGTTATAATTCATATTGAGCGTTTAAACACGTACTACACGTTAGAAATAAAATCACCAAGTATACAATATCAAATTGGGACACAGGAAGCAATTTTCCCACCCAGATGTTACTATGAAAAACAACGTTAAAAATACATTAAGTCCGGTACGAGGTTTTTAGCTAATCGTCCTACGAAACACTCAAAAGCTTTTACAAAGCTTTAGTCTTGAAAAACAATTAATTTAGTTTTCATGTTAAAACTTCATAATTCTTGCACGTGAATGTTTCATCAAAGACATCACTTGCTGTAGTCGGTCGGCGACATCTTGGATTTTGCCGGACAGAATAGATCTCGTATTTGCTTGATCGTCCTCAGCTCGTCGTAGTACGTGAGGATGAAGATCACGTACGTCAGGCTCATTAAATACTCCGCAATCGCACTGATGATGTGGATATCATAGCCCTGTTAGAGAGTCATTAAGCCAAAATATTAGACTCCTTGGTGTCTTCACAAAACAGACAAACAAAAACACAATTTTATAGATTTATTTGGGTGAGTTTTTGTATTGGTTTTTGGTGATCTTTGATGAGGCAGCGATTTTCAAATTTTTCAAACATATAAAATCTTGATGTTTGAGAAATCACTCTATTCCCACAAATGTGCAGCTCCGTTAATTAAAACTCAAGAGTCACGTGGTGTGAATTAAACACGTTTGCTGCCACCACGCGTTGACTCATTGTTATTAGCAAACCTTGTCTTCCGGCCTCCATTGCATGTGCTCAGCAAATGTTCCGTTGAATTCTTCAAAAGCTACACTCGCCAAACCCAAGGCTGTAACAATAGAGTTAAGAAACCATCTCCAAGGTTGTTTTTTTTTCCCCAGCTGATAATAGGACAAGCCCTCCGATAAGAGAATAATAATACCGGAGTCTTATATAGCGCAATTAGGTACTCAAGGCGCTGGTAAGTATGTCTATTTTTAAAGACAGGTAGATGAAGTTCATGAGAAATACGAGACCTATTATGAAGCACTTTTATAAAGGTTTGCTGCGGCGCATATTGCAGCCACTGCCAGAAACACCGGGGCAAACGCCTTCTCTTAGGCCTTCTCTCCGGTTTCTGGTATGCGCGCGCGTCGCCGTAGCCATGCGCGTCGGCAAAATGAAAAAGTTTTTTTTCAATGAAAGATGATGATTCAAAACCGCCAAACTCACTGGTTTGACTGGAATTCTGCTGCTGCACAATTTTAACGTGTTTTTAGATTGGGTTATGGTCGAGAATAAGCTTTATGTGGCCTCTCTGGACTCCCATACATTTGCACTAATTAAGTTTAGTCGGGCACCATTTGCAGTCATCAGCCAACATTCGAAGCAAAAAAATCAGGTAAAAAAAAAAAAGCTCCATACCAGAAACCGGAGACTTTTTTTGGCCTTAGCGAGTGTCACTGGGTTCTTTAACGTGCATCACACAACACACAGGACCTACGGCTTTACGTCCCATCCGAAGGACGAAGCAATAATGGTACAGCGCATTGAATGCACCATGTTCCCCGTCAGGATTCGAACCCACGTACCACGGCACACGATCGAGTCGAGCTCCATAACCATTGGACCACAGCACCCCAATAAGCAAACGTGAGTATAGACCTTAGTAGATCCGGTCAGTCGAGGCCAGTCAGGTCAATGGGGCCAGTCTGCAGTCAGTCAGGTAAGTCAGGTCAATTAGGTCAACGGCTAGGTCAGTCAGGCCAGTTGGGTCAGGCCAGGTCAGTCAGGTCAGTCTGCAGTCAGTCAGTCAGTCAGGTCAACATCAGGCCAGTCAGGCAAGTCAGATGAGTCAGGCCAGTCAAGTCAGGCAGGTCAGTCTGCAGTCAGTAAGGTCAATCAGATCAGTCAGCCAGTCAAGTCAGGCAGGTCAATCTGCAGTCAGTATATAAGGTCAGTCAGGTCAACCATGCCAGTCAGGTCCGTCAGATCAATCAGGTCAGTCAAGTCAGTTAGGCAGTCGGTCAGGTCAGTTTGTAGTCAGTCAGGTCAGTCTGCAGTCAGTAAGGTCAGTATGCAGTCAGTCAGGTCAGTCTGCAGTCAGGTCAGTCTGCAGTCAGTCAGGTCAGTCTGCAGTCAGTAAGGTCAGTATGCAGTCAGTATTCAATCAGAATAGTCAAGTCAGGCAGGTAATCAGGTTGGCAAGTCATCAGGTCTCAACACTCAGGTCAGTCACGTCAGTCTGCAGTCATCAGGTCAATCAGGTCAATTGGGCCATTCAAGTCACGCAGGTAATCAGATCCACACTCAGGTTGGTAAGGCCCGTCAAGTCAAGTCAGATCAGCTTAGGTCATGTCAGTCTGCAGTCAGTCATGCCAGTATATGGTTAATATAGGTCAAGTCAGGCCAGTCAAGTCAGTCAGATATATTTGTAAAGTCACGTCAAGTCAGGTCAGGTCAGTCGATCTGTCGGTCAGCTAGGCAGTCTGCAGTCACTAAGGTCAATCTGCAGTCAGTAACGTCAATCAGAACAGTCAAGTCAGGCAGGTAATCAGGTTGACCAGTCAGTTCTCGACACTCAGGTCAGTCACGCCAGTCTGCAGTCAGTCAGATCAATCAGGTCATTTAGGCCAGTCAAGTTACGCAGGTAATCAGATCAACGGTCAGGTCGATAAGGCTCATCATATTGTTACGAACCCAGATTGCTTGATTATGGAAATCTAGCGCCCTCTTGATTCACTCTGTCCATGAAGTACACAATCTTATTGTTGTCTTTTATAGTTCCTGTATTTTACCCATTTATCGTAAATTGCCAACTTGCACTTTTATTCCCAGGGTCTCTTACCAAGCACAGCGCATGATGCAATACCACGCGCGCTACTGTATGCATTATTCATGTAGCGATGTACATGTGCGCGACTGACCACACCTCCCTTCGCCCCAGCGAGCTAAGTTCCTTTCCCCATAGCATGCGTGCTTTGGCGATCTCCGAGAGACTGCTCAGCGGCACGCAGCATTTCTCTCCCCCGTGCGTTACCCATGAACACTAACCGGAGTTCACGGTCCAGTTTTCTAGTCCCGTACTTAGCTCGAGGGAATGGAATGTTACCTTGCGTGGTCGCGTAGCTGGGCGTGGTAAGACATCCTGTGATGTAAATAACCTGTGACACAGTAACCTTTTAGCTTGTCACTCACTCCATCAAGGTTGCTCGAGATGTTGTGTAAACACTTTTGCACTCTGATCTAACTATTTGCACACATCTCTCTCTGTATTTGCATACTTCTCTCTCCATGTTTTCCCTCATGTAAATGCACACGTTTCTAGTCTCTTGCACTAGGCACTCTTAGTAAGCCGTGTGACTAGTCATGTGACCCTTAGACATGGAAGATTACTATTGGTTAATTCCTAAATCAGTGCTCATGCATTATTTAATCCCGAGACTTCTACTGCCTATAAATACCGGAGGTTTTCCTCGCTTTCGGCAGTGCGGCGAACCACGAAACCAATGTAGTGCGAACGAACCCTAAACCCAAAGTTGTGCGGCGAACTTATGTTGTGCGGTAAATCGTATGATGTGCGACGAACTCGACTCTGACAGACCGATTGTTGTGCGACTCTTGTCACTACGAAGCATCGGCCTCCCTTGGTGGTTGAGGCGCGGTGAAGTAATAGTGCAATCACTAGTACTAGTGTTATTATGAAGCATCCTTCTCCTAGATCCCTCGAGGAGTGTGTAGAAGCTGGTGAAATAGTAATACACTAGTCCCAATGGTGCTGTGCGGTTTCGAATGGCCATTGGACTGCTATTCTTAGCTTGAACATGTTGTGCGGTTGTCTGGTGTTCTAGCCCAGCCAGAGCTAGTTCATCCCCGTCACCACAGCGGACCGCTCCCGCTGTGGCCAGCCGCCCCCGTAGCCATTCCCCCGTAGTTCAGCTATGCTAGCCCGGTCTTGTCATAAACACTATCCTTGGTGCATAGTGCCTCGATTGACCTTGGATACCCGATACGCAACATGCACACTTTGGTTCGAACTGTAGTGCGGCCTGGTACACTTGCTGGCCCCGTCCGGTTACCGTTGCCTCCCAGTCACCGTAGTGGACCGCTCCCGCTTCGGTCTGACCGTCGATAACCCGTACCGTGCCGGTGCCCACTCAGTTCGTATTGGTTGACATGGTTTTGCCATAGTACATAGTACATGTACATGTATAGACTTTGTAGACGCCAACCTGTTAGTGTTATCTCTATAACGCTACCAACGACTACCAAAAAGAGAAACCCTATAGGTTGATGAAATCTAACAAAGTTATGTAAAGTGATGAGATGAATAAATCAGTGTATTGACATGTGTGACTGTCACCCCAAAGCTCTGTTTCCCTCCAACTTATTGAATTATTGTTGACTCTAATAAATGTTTCACGAACTGCTATTAGGGAACGCAACAATATCAAGTCAGATCAGGTTAGGTCATGCAGGTCAGTCTGCAGTCAGTCATGCCAGTATAAGGTTAATATAGGTCAACAGTCAAGTCGGTCAGGCCAGTCAGGCCAGTCAAGTCAGTCAGATGTATTTGTAAAGTCAGGTCAAGTCAGGTCAGGTCAGTCGATCTGTTGTCAGTCAGGCCGGATAGGTCAGTCAGGCCTGTCAACTAAATCAGTCGGCTTATCAGGCCGTTCAGGTCAGGCCATTCGGGTCAGGTCAGGTCAGGCCTTTTGGATCAGGTCAGTCAGGTCAACAGGAACGTCAGGTCAGTCAGGTACAAATAGGACAATATATAGGCAGGCCCTCTGTGACTTACAAAAATATAACAGAAAGTCTAAAGGATACTTATGACGAGGAAAATGCCGGTCAGGGCTGTAAGGGTGAAGCGCAGCACAGCCATAGCCCTTGACCAGAACTCGGTAGACAGTGCATAGGAGATGCGACTGTGGAAATAGCCATAGACCACACCGAAAACGAAGCACGTCACAGCGCCACCTGCATGGATCGCATTTTGTAAGGATTCCGGATGATGCTATAAAAAGAAAACAAACAATATCCATCAACCAACAGGGAAAAAAAGAAAGAATACAAAAAACATGGCAGAGACTTTACTAGGTTTCCTTTAGAGTAGACAGTAATTTAAGTGAAGTCAATATGAAAATATTTAAATTATATATCAAAAATATGAAAATCCGTTAGTGCAGCTATTTAACTTATTTAGTCCCTGAAAATTAATTGACACATATGAAGACGTCTGGAATAGACCTTATGCGTAGCAGCCATCTTACACGGCAATGCCTTTGTTTTGCTGAGATATGCATGATTGAACCTTTTGTGTATGCATTGTTACTGATACTTAATTTAAACAACAAAAGATGACCTCTAAGATGGCCGCTACGCATATAAGGTCCATGGTCCCGAAGGTATCTACATACTGTATACTGTTTTTTACCAAATCCTCCTGGAAGTTAGCCAAAATGCTGAGGCCCAAGACTGCCAGGGAGCCCGGTATGACAGACAATGAGTTCCACTTTAACACCTTGGATGAAATAACGTTGCTCTGCTGGACTATTTGCCTGTAGCGCAGGTACATTGTCGCTCCAACTGTTTGCACCAAAAAAAATATCTGAGCTTTTCCGAGTGATGTGGTTTTCCCTAATTCAATCAAGCAGTCATCAATTGTGTCTTTAAATGAAAAGTGGTTCTCATTGTTCTTGTCGAGTCCATCACAAGCCCCGCCAAAAGAACACAACGACAAGGCCATACACCAATGAGAACACAAGTATGACGCGATGAATAATAAGAAAGGAATGTTTCTGTAACCGATGAATTTAATAACTGAAGCTACAGGACTTGTGATGGACTTGTTGGGACTTGTGAGGACTTGTGAGGGATTTGTGATGGCTTTATGATGTAATCAACTCAATCTTACGCAGCCATCTAGGGCAGGACTCGCACCAAAACCAAACCCTCTCTGTAGTTATAGAACTATTATTGACGTATAGGTAACAAAATGGGGGGAAAAGAAACACCAGTGTTGCAGTACTCGTACTCGGTACTCGTTCTCGAACTCGAGTACTTTTTTGGAGTACATGTACTCGTACTCATACTCGAATGTCAAAGTACTCATACTCGAAATGACGGCACTCGTACTCGGGCAGCAAAGTACTCGTACTCGACATGTCGAAATTGTACTCGATCATCAAAGTACTCGTACTCGAATAGCGTACTCGGGGGTGGTGTAACTTGACTGTATACCACGGCCTTATTTTATCGATACTTTCAGTTTGAACTTGATTACCTTGTGGGGAAATCGAAGTTTCCTGATTTTCCTTTGTGCACGTCCGGACAAACACATTTAACAGCCAGTCGTGAGTGGGTCTGTATATCGGTTTGACTGAGCCTGGGCCAATTACGCACACAACGAACCATTTGCCGTATGGCCGTATTCGGAAATACAAGTACGTACGTTGTAACCGTACTCGTTCCCGTACTCGAAGTACAGTACAAGTACTCGTACTCGGAGACCTGTTCTTGTACTCGGAGGTACCAGTAATTGTACTCGTACTCGGCAGCCTAAGTACTCGACAGTACTCGGTAATCGGAAAAAAAATACTCAACTACAACACTAGAAAACACTGCAAAATACGACCGGTATAACGTACACTACTTACCTAGAATACTTCCAACATTCAGCATTTGGCCGAATACGCAGCTCTCAGGCTGTAGGGCACCGGTGTCGCTGTTGAAATAACGAGATTTAAATGCCCATAGGATTATCTGCATTTATCCCTAAAGTTCCCTACCTAATTATTATCAAATAGCTCACAAGTCTTGGGTTAAAGTTCGTAATGGTACTAAATACCCAGTGCAATTTTCTCGTCTGGCTTGCTGTCATTTAGAAGAAAACAAAAAATCTAGTTTGATTTCCAACGATCAGGCGACATAGACTGATTTTTAAAACAATAAAAAAATGCTGTTCACGAAATCGTGTTTCCTGATCAAAATTAATTAGGTTGAAGGCTACATGTACAATGGAATTGCGCATGCGTCATTCGTTAACTGAATAGTCACGGACTTCACTGGCCTTAAAAAAAACCCTCCATATAGCCACGAATCGGAATGACTAAAGGTGAGATTAATTTCATTGAAAAGTCGGCTGGGATAAGAGAACAGGGCATATGAATGAGAAATATCGACGTATAAGGGGCCAGTCAAAACAAATTTAAATTTTCTAAATGTTGCTATTCAATAGATCCTATACAAAGTACGACAAAAGTACATGTATTATAATATAGCCTCACCTTACCCATGGCAGCAAATAATACACGTGGTTGGACCGAACCGCGATTATGTACCTGCATGTAAAAAGTAAAGCAATAAATGACTTTTGATATAAGAATGATTGAACTATAATTTTATTGTTGCTCGTGATATATGTGGGGAGTTTAAAAGTTATACATGTACATGTAGTGCTTAAACGAAAGTTTTCAGTATTCCTGACCATAATGTGTCCAATGGATGACCACGTTAGTACTGCATGGCAGGACATTTATTCATAAACACCAAAGACAGTTTACCCATCCATACCGGTCTAGAGCCCGTCACGTGACTGGTCTTACACGGTTGATAAACACTGGCTGTCTGGTCTTATTAACACTTATTCGGTGTCACATGAAATGTTGACTCCTTTGATATGTCTTACGAAAGATATCTGGCTAAAGAGCCATCGCAGATTTGTCCTTTGAACAAAAATATGGGTAGAATAACAATACCAATTTCCAAAATTTTCAAAATGGCTGCCATTGCTAGTTATTCTATCTACATTTGTTCAATGGACAAATCTGCGAATAGCCAAATATATCTTTCTCATGACATACTCTGACTGTGTGCCAAATGCCATGCTTGTATCATAAAAGGCACAATCCCATCACTTATCTGCCGTACTAAATTATTTGGCCACAGTTTGCAATTACATATGTGACCTGCCATAGCATAATGAGGAATAACCCCACCTTTGCTTTTTCAAATTATATACATCATGTTAAAGCGCAATCATTGGCTTTCCAATGATACCAAATTTATTTCTGTAACTGAATTTATTCCAAAGATATAACGCAGGAGCAACAGTGTCCCGCCAATCTTCGCCAACCTCATTTCGAGAACAACAGCTTTGAATAAAAAAAGATACGCATTGCGCCGCCAGCGGCAGAGATAAACGTTCCTCAGTTTTTTTTCACTTTTCGGGGTATTATTTCCCATCAAAAATGCATAGTGTGAATCTTCGATACCTTGACTACTCAAAAATACAAAACAACCAATATCAATTTTGACAGGATTTTCTGCTATATCCGACTTCAGGCGTCGATTACTCAAAACCGGGTTTTTGGGGACATTCCTCCTTTTGCCACAGCTAGGTCAGATATGGTAGGGCTGCAACTTCCCACAGACTTGAAATTACACACGGGTCTATGAGAAGTGGCTGCAGCCACGTACTACTGTAGGTGAGTACTTCTAAGCCGTAGTCAAGTAAATCAGACACGACCCTATGCACAGGCTTCCGGACGGCATGAGTGTATTACACTGCTTTTCCCAAAGGCATTTCAGGATAGTCTGACCGGTCAATCATATATTGGCGTAAACGGGCTATAGGTGTCCCAAATCGACTGAAAGGACTGAATTAAAACGGACACCATTGACAAAACATTGACCATTGAAATTCAAACGATTTTAACTGATTGCTTCGAATACGTGTGGTTGTACAGTTAGGTTGCCACGTGTTGGGCATGATCCATATAGGATTAGGATATAAATCCAGCGATCAGCTCGCCATGCTATTACGTAACACTTCCATAGTAAATTGCACGAATCAATACCTAAGGCCTGAATACCATGAATGAATAAAAATGATACTAGGGCTGTTAATTAATTCACTTACGGAACGACCAGGCCTATCAGTATTGATGCCCCAGCAGCAGTTGGCACCCATCCGTAGCCTAGCTCTCTCAAGATCTTCACAATCATGCTTGCCACCAGATCACATAAAAACAATTATGGGACAGCGAACTCGACCGTTTATACTGCCAGTTATTTCGGTTTGTAGCGACGATAAAAAAGTTCAGGGCAGGCACTGTCGTCGGAGAGATTGCAATGCGTATGAGGCAAACTTTAGTGTGGAGTCACACCTGGCACAAGATTTCTAGAAAGTTTTCAGGTCCATCATTCGCTCATATTGTGCAACCCCTATCTGTGTGTATTGTCATGGAGTACATGTAGCTCCATGCATATAGAAAGGACAAATGACCACCATGGTATTACAGGTACATGTACGTAGGGGCCTCCACCAAGTGGCCCAGTTGATAATCAATTGGTAGTCTATCCATAAAGCAATGGTTTGTCCTTGTGGTCAATGAAAATATCCCGCTACAGAACCAATAAACCTGACATAATGACGCGATGCTTTGTATAGTCGTATGCACATTTCTATGGGAGTCAGGTGGGGACGAGGGCACCATTATCACCTTGCTCCCATATGAAAGCACACATGGTTCCAGCCCAGTAAATAAACTTCCATTGCTATTGACCCCAATAATAAATGCTCCCACTTAAGAAATTCGAGAAAAATACTCACAACTCTCCAAGGTGTTCCAGACACACATCAAATTAAAACTTATTTTATCATCTTTCATTTTCTTTTCAATTCACGGGGGGTCATTCAACTAATAACTTGTAATGTAGGAGAAATTTCCATCCGAAGATGATCACCCTTTAAAATAGTCCTGAAGCCCATCGCCATTTTGAAAAACGATGCCTACACTCCATTGCGAAATAGAGCGCTTTTAGGGCCCCAATTTCGTCCAAATTGAACGGACCTAGTGCACGGCTTCCACCCATATTTTTTTTTTACAAATTCTCCAGTTCATGGCCCATAGTATGGTCAAATACTGGAGATTTTAAGGGCATGCAAATCGTGATTTGGCCGGCGTAGGCAATTTCGGATCGATTTACTGGTCTGCAACCACATGTAAACAAAGCAAGACGTCATTATGTCTTGGGTCAACCTCGTCCCAGGATGTCGAGCAGTACGCGCCCACCACTACCTGCTCTATCTATTGGAAACGAGGTTGGAAATAAAGTAAGCACTGGGGACGAGGTCGGTCTTGGGTACATTAATTAATTATGTGCCTTAGTGCATGGCTGCATACTAAATTGAATATCGTTCAATAGACGAATCTAGCCAACCTCCATGGGACCAGTGACAAAGCAACTGCCCTGTTATGGATTACCTGAACAATAGCTAGCACAATGCTTTCGCCATTCAAGGGGGCCTTCGTGATTGATAGTGTGCATGCCCATATGCATATTTTTTTTTCTGCAACAAAGTATGGTCAATGACAAAATGCGTTCAGTCAATGACCATAATTTCCCTTTAAAAAAATCCCTCAGAGGAGCCATGAATCAGGGGGTAAAGCTAAGTTTATTTCATCGACCAGTACGACTTGATCAAACACAATTTAAGAATTTCTAACCCAATACCTGCAGCATTTGGACCCAGACGTACCTATAACGTCTGAAGTAGCAGGCCCAGTGATGCCACGGTTACCGCCGTGGAATTTTAGCCATTAGCCTCCCTCGATCGACATATCCATTCATTCACGTGGTATATGTTTCGTCGGGTGCCCTGCAGAGAAGGGCATATGGGCGTTCTGACGCAAAAAATCATTTTCAAGAAAATTGCATCAAAAGGTTCCATTAACCACCCCGTGCGCATTATGTATCCAATGTTCTCCCACACGCAAAATGATCGTGCGAATTTGAAATTTGTCACACGTATGAATCATGAATTTTGGAACAACTTGTATTAATTTCTGATGAAAATGTTTAAATTTCATTAAAATAGAGGCAGTTTTCTGCATATGCCGGCCCTTTTGATGGGAACATTTTGGTCATTTGCGCTATTGCATATAAAGGGCATAGGCACATAATGCCCCGCTTTTGCCGGGCGCACGACGGTTTCACGCATGCGTATTAAGGTACGTATAGCCTGCCAAACCTAAAGTAACAATGATAATAAGCCTCTGCACTGATGACGTCACCTTTGTTTACGTGTGTGTGCTTTCCTATGGTGCTCAGTGAACCATGGGCCCCCACTGGCTCTATAGGAAAGTGCACATGTAAACAAAGTGTGACGTCATCAGTACAGAGGCTTATTGGCTTGCAGTAATCCGATCCCAAAGGGATATGGCAGTCGAATCTGTGGAATCGGAGCATGAATTAGATGGCTGCGCTCAACAAACAGGCGTTATTTTAATTAGGACCATTACCAAATAATGGTACACGTACGGGATACGTATTCGGATAGGGAAAAGTGACCTATTAAAGAGGTTGTGGAATGCTCGAAGACATTTCCGTCATTTTTTGGGTATATGTAGCCTAAGGTGTGATGAAATAAAAACGACTATTGTTTCTGTCATGAAATGAGTACAAAGGGTACTTTTGAGAGCTATTTTTCAGGTCCTGTTTCGACCCGAACGCGCAATTTGCGTAAAAGTCGTCGTTGCGGGCAGCAAACAAAACACAGTAAATCGTGACGTAATAAACAGGACTCGTTTATGCTACTCTGCATCGGGAGTCCTGTTTATTACGTCACGATTTACTGTGTTTTGTTTGCTGCCCGCAACGACGACTTTTACACAAATTGCACGTTCGGGCTGAAACAGGCATGACATGACTTGAAAAACAGCTCTCAATAGTACCTTTTGTACTCATTTCATGACAGACACAATAGTCGTTTTTATTTCATCGCACCTTAGGCTACATATACCTAAAAAAATGACGGAAATGTTTTTGAGCATTCCACAACCTCTTTAAAACACCATTTTTGTGTGATAATTTATCTATTTTCGATGTGAAATGTAAACATTGCCAATAGTGTGCCCGATGGAGTAGCAACGCGAAATAATAATCCCGTGGGCGACACATAATATGTCTCCCGCACCATTTCAAAATGGTTGATCGATCCCTAGTATATTTCATCTGAACGTGTGCAGAAACCTATTGGCGTACTGCGCATGGGCAGAGAGTCTCTCTGTCACCGTTGCGAGGGTACTTGCAATATTCACGGAGCATTTGCTATTCCATAATTATGCGCGCATGCGCATAAATGGGCTCGGCGGCAAGAGGCGAAAGCGGTCCATTGAAAATGTACAGGGGGCCAAATACTCGGGTCATTTTCTCTCAATTTCTCCAGGATTTGTCGCGCTCTATTTTTTTTTATTGAAAAGCCCCTGAAAACGTCAAAGGCATTACTTTCTGGCCTATGTGGGTTTTTAAGGTATATAATAAAAACTTAACAATTGCTTTCGTCCCGTGCGCACGAGGCGAGCAAAGTCAGTCAAAAACTATAACCGTGCTTCGGGATACCCGTCCACCAAATTTCGGCCCGAATCGCGGTGCTGAATCGCGCCTGACTTCACCACCGAGCACCCCCCCCCGGGAAAACGAAAAAAAGGGGGAACAAAACAAAACAAACAAAAAAGGAAAAAGAGGTGCAAAGCCATATTGCTGTTAATTTGATGCGGGGGGGGGGGGATGAATGCTCCCCTGCTCACACTTGGAAAAATGATAAATTGAGAATATGAAAAATGTATGGAATTTTGGGGAAAATTTGCTTTGCCCCCCCCCCCGGAAATAATCCTGGCGACGCCCATGACCGTGGCTGTCTTTTGTTCTTCTTCACAGCCTCATTGATGCGCATGCGTGCATAATTATGAATTTATTAGTGAAAAGGTCCACATTTAAGTCCATGAGTGTCTTCTCACAGCCTGCACCGAACAAGTTAAATCTGCTTTTTACACAAGTATAGCACGCTAAACTGTCACTGCAACGGTTCTATGGTAACCATAATAACAGCCTCACAAACCAATTTGGCGCAAATACCTCCAATAACGAAGCCACATGGCAGAACCGAAAGAAGTATAAACACCTTTTTACACACAGGAAGCAATATTAACCATATTATTATTATTGTTAAAATTCCATCCATTATCAACAAAATATATTTATCTTTGCGTGGTTATACATTCACTGGAGGAGTTGTGATCGGCATTACCCTGTGTGCGCGTGCGCCCACTATAAGATTTAATCATAACTGACCAAACCTGGTAAGTCCAAGCAAAAGACAAAAGTCAAATATATACGTATACTCAATAGTTATACAATGTCGACATCACAAGAAGACAAACCGTATAACACTTAAATGATGTAGTACTGAATATTATTAAAGTCATAATAATGTTGTTAATACTGAGTAAAACCTATGACACTTCCATGGGTAGGATTTGGGAAAATGCAAAACCACGAAATAACCGGCAAAGCGTTTGAGGGTCCCCGCGGGCCCCGCCCCATTGCAACGTGGGATCCATCATGGTATAATGGTTGTAATTTGTCCAAAGACACACCTTATACCCAATACAAATTTCGTTTGTGCTATAATCTTTTATACTTATCATACAGGTAAAAACACTTTTACGCTAAATCCTCAGGAAATCCACATTACAAAATGGATTCTTCAACCCTGAAATCGGAAAAAATCCCAATAAAAAAAATCCTGAAATCAGGCAAAATCATGAACGAAACAGTATTTAATCCGGAAAATCATGACAAGTGTCACACCTGAGGCTGAAACAGCACCATCCATTGTTGTAAAAAAACAAACAAATAAACAAACAAACATAAAAGCAAGAATGTACTAAAGCTCCACTATAGAACAGACACCAGGGAATCACGTGCAATCTCAATGTCACCCTTCGCGGCGACCTTTGCCACCGGGTTAGTCTTGTCTCCAGTCGGTGGTTTGATGGCGCTGAACTCCTTGTACAACGACAGGATCAATGCAGTCAATACGAAGCCCATCATATATTCAGATACCGAGCTGTAGACGTGGTTCACATAGCCCTACGATCGAGGTTGATAAAAGAAAAACACAATTTAGGCCGTTTCTCACAACTGGGCGTCCCCTACTTCAGCTCAGTCTGGCCTGAGAACCAGGTCTTTCAGCAATTAATGCATAGTAAGACTCGTATTGAGCCGGTATATCCAGAATCAGAGATCTATAAATAGTTTAGTCGGAAAAGGGGGGTATCGTGCACCCTCGGAAATCAATTTCTAATCAACGTTTCTAGGTCAGAAAAAATGCGTAGAATACGATTTGCTATGTTAAAAAATTCAAAAAATGTCCCACGTATTGTTTTTATGCAAATTAGTGCCGCCATTACCGAAAAATCTATTTTTAATTATATCTCAGCCAATATTGCAGATAACTGAACGAACTAGGTGTCTAAACCCATGTTTTCTAGGTCAGAGATCACAATAAAACTATTCTGGAAGTGACCACATGTGTCTGTGGCATAGAAATATGCAAATTAGTGCTGCTAACAC